ACCCAGGCGCCCTGCTCAGACATTTTCAACCCGGCAGCCTAGAAATGAAATGTAGACAAGGGACCCAATCCACATAGGGGACCAAGGAGTGGGGATCTGGGTCGACCTTGTTAGCACAGCTGGATCTCTTGAGTTCGGGGAGAAATTTCTGTGATTACTCTTGTTTTGGAACAAGCTCCGATTTTTTTTAAAAAAGGAAATGATGTTTTGTTACGTTCCAGTGCACACCAGCAATTCGATCCTGTGTCCCATTTCTTGGCTTGAACAGAGGACACCCGTTAGAAATTGCCCTGTTACTTGCACGCAGGGCTGCTGAAATGCGAAAACTGCATTCTGTTCGGGCCTTTTAAAAATGGTACAGTTATGTCCTTTGGAAATTATGTCTCTCGACTATCTGTTTTCCATGACTTTTAACTGGGGACAACTTTACTAAATCTTTGTCTTCCCTTGGCCGCCTCCCCCAAGCGCCTTACACTCGCGTCGCCCATTTGAAGGGACTGAGCTCACCTCTCCGGGTTGAAGGTCTCGGGTTGTGGCCAGTACTCAGGGTCGTGGTGCAGGGCGCCCACGGCCACCTCCACCACGGTGCCCGCGGGGATGTGTTGCCCCCGCACCTCGCAGTCCCGTGCCGCCTCCCGCGTGAACCTGTGGGGACACGTCAGTCACCCCTGCCTTGATGCACAGCAACAAGCAGAGCTTGCCGGCAGCACGCTGGGGCAAATGGGGTCTGAGCCTCAAGTGTGGAATGGGAGGTAGGGGGATAGGAGGCCCAGCCTTCTTGCAGGGGTGACCAGGATGGTTTCTACCCCCTGCCCCTTAACCTTCTTCTGCCCACAACCCCGAAGCCTCCAAGCTCTTTAGACTCCTTTGGCCCTCAGTGAATATGCATTCATCCATCAAGCCTGAAGAGTTCTCTTAGGCCTGACTGGGGGAACACGGGTACCTTTGAAGGGCTTCTCCCTGTGGGAGGCTTGCTGGGTTATGACCCTGGCCACACTTTCCCTCATCTTCTGTCCATGGCTAAGCCTCTTTAAATGGCTCTCACCTACCCCCTTGCTTTACCTAAAGGAAATTTGGGTTTGAACATCTGATCTCCATTCATTGTCTGTGTCACTATGGATAACTTCTACTGAGGACAAAACTTCTGGTCAGATTGTTTACCAAATGCCATGGCACAGTCCGTTTTACACTGTATTTTTAAGGGCCAGACTATAGATGTTTGCACACAAATATAAAATTTCTGGAAGAATGCCTGAACTTCCACCATGATTTCTTCTAAGGGATGGGACTGGGCTGGAGGATGGCAGGGGACCAGAGGTGCCAACTTTTTCTTCAGATCCTTCTGTATTGTTTAGGTTTTTTTGGTTTTTGTATTTTTTTTTTTAAGTACAAGCCTACTATTTTCGTAATACAGATAATTACTTTAAAAATTAAAAATTATGCTGGCTTTTATTTCAAATTGTAGGGCTGGACTTTCCTAAATATCTCAGAGGAGATAAAGTTATTATACTAATTACCATTATATTCTGTTCTCGCTTATAAAAAAAGAATTAAGAGCAACCCGAAGCTCCTGGCAGCCTTCATTACTCTGTCAGGAACCTTTAATGTAACAAGAGGAGCCAGGACTTGGGGGCCCCCATTCGGATCCTAAGCTACCAATGCTATTAATATGTATACTGCATGGAATCCTGGATTCACATTCATAATACTTCAACAAGAGTTGGTAAGTTTTCTACAGGGGCCATTCTGAGTTTTTTTTTTGGTGGATAATGGTTATCAGTCAAGGTGCGTCAGGGCCTGGGAAAAGACAACGCACTTTTCTGAGATTAAAATAATAAAGTAGAATAAAATAAATAAAATTCGCATTCTATCTGTATTCACCCCCAAATCTGTTGCCTGGGCTGGAGCGAATTGGCCTCTCGTCTGGCTGAGAATAATGATGGCTTGGCTCTCTCCTTTCTGTTGTTTGTTAACAGAAGTCCGCAGAGCTGATAGGATTAAAAATTCCAGCAGAGTAGGTATGGAGGAGGGTGAGGCCCAGGAGCTCGTGGCTTGCCAGGACCGGAGCGGGCTGGAAGCTGGCCCTTCGCCTGGAAGGGCAGTCCTTCTTGCTTTCACCTCATACATTGGGTGACATATGACTTAGAGTGTGCAGCTTTTCAGAAGTTCTGTTCCACTGTTTCTCACCACTCGTTGGGGGTGGGGGGGCAAGCAGGCATTGTGTGCCCACTGAACACCCAGGAAGCAGAACCACAGAACAGCACAGCGCTTACCCAAGGTCACACAGCCCACGAAGGGCAGAGGTGTGAGACTCTTGACTTTCTGTCTGAATTTGTTCTGCGATTACGGAGCACTGGTACTCTATGTGACTTGATGAGGGAGTCAACCAGTTCATCCCAGTTCCCTCATTTCTGTCCTGCCTTCGAGTGAGATCACCCATTGCTGGTTCCCCGGAGCCGTGTGGCCGCCTTTTATGCAGTACTGTTTCTAAAGTTTCGAAGGGTCACTTGGAGAATCGATCAGAGCATTTGGGTGTTGAAGAGCCTGTTCATTTTGTCACTCAGCGCATCCCCGCTAAAAGGTCTCACGCGTCGAGTTCTTGATTGGGTTTAGATCCAGGAAAGGACCTGTCTTTGATCACTTTATAGACTTTCCTCCTACCAGAGAACGTGCCTGTTCAACTCTGCTGGTTTTCCTCTCTGGCAGGAGCCGCGGCACCTGAGCGGGGACCTGACCCCCGTTATCGGCCCTCTCTGGGGTCCTGTAAAGTCTTCTTCCCCCTGGATGGCCTTTGTTCTATCACTGAATGTCTTATTTTGAGCTTCATTTTAACGTGTATAGCAGCTGCCCACAGTTCCCTTGGAGGGAAGCTGGATATAAATCATTAAAAAAGCAGGATTGGATGACAGTGCCATGGCTCCCAAGGAAATCAGGGAAGGCCCACAGAATCGGTCTTAACGCCGGCGTCGGGAGAGCGGCCCGGCAAGTGCTGGGGTTTCAGGGCCCTGAAACCCTGTGTGCTTGAGGACCATGTGATTCCACTCACATCTCTGGAATTCTCTGTATTTGCTCCGGGTCCAAACACTTTGGACAATATCTATAATCACACTCTGATGTTTTTGGTTTGGAATATAATGAGATATCTTCAAAGCATCCACATTTTCTCTTTTAGAATGGCAAAAGGTACCTCCATATGGATGATGGGGTATACTAATTTTTAGACCTGCAGAGTGGAACTTATGATAGGTTAAATGCTTTGTGTTGCTTCTTGTTTCTAGAACCTGAAATGTGGTCACTGTTTCCCTCCCTAAAGGCCTGGGAGCCCAAGTTAAGATCCTGTGCTCCATGTTTTGCCTTGTTTAGGGGGAGTTGGAAAGAAGCAGACCAGATTCCTGCTTTCGAGGCACTTACAGGTTGGTGGTGTGAGCAGATGTCCACGGGTGAGATGTTCCAGAGGGGGTGAGAAGTGTCCAAGAATGTAATAGGAAGTACAGTTTGCTCGAAAATGCTGGGGGAGGAGAGGCAAACTGCCCAGGGTAGCGAGGGTTGGGTTGGAGCTCGAAGGATGGGGCAGGGGTGGGTGGCTGGAGAGTGAGGAGCAGCCTCCCAGACTTTGGAATTTTCCCCCTGGAACATCAACTCCAAGGGCAGGGGTTTTATCTGTTTCGTACACGGCCGATTTCCCCGTGCTTGGCCCAGCATTCGACTCAACAAATAGTTGCCAAATGAAAGAATGGACGAACGGACGAACAGGCAGGAGGACTAGCAAATGCCATTGAAGGCTAGGAGGCCAAGGAGATTGGCTTGGGTTGGGGAGGAAGGTCATGTTAAGAACAGACCAGTGAGGGCACCTGGGTGGCTCAGTTGGTTAAGCGACTGCCTTCGGCTCAAGTCATGATCCTGGAGTCCTGGGATCGAGTCCTGCATTGGGCTCCCTGCTCAGCGGGGAGTCTGCTTCTCCCTCTGACCCTCCTCCCTCTCATGCTCTCTGTCTCTCATTCTCTCTCTCTCAAATAAATAAATAAAATCTTAAAAAAAAAAAATAAAAAAAAAACAAAACCAAAAACAGACCAGTGAACCTTTGAGAAGGTAGTTAATGTAGAGGAAAATGAGCCAGACATTTACTGCTATGGTCACTCTATGGAAGCCATTGAAACCCAAGAAACCCAAGACTCAGGCCTTGCCTTCCAGGAACCTGAGTCCAGCATTCTCGATAACGCAGGTGGTGACAGACTGAGGACTGGTGAGGAGCCTAGACAGTGATGTCCTGAAGGGCCTTTGGGGTGCGGGGGCCTGGGCAGGGGGAGAAGGTGGGGGAGCTCAGGCATACCTGAAAGCCGGTGGGTAAATCCTCAAGGTCTCTGCGATCACCATGTCCAGGTAGGTCAGGCCTTCCTGGAGGCTGCTGTAGTCAGGGGCCGTCTGGGGGGGAGGGGGGTCGTGACAAATGAAGAAAGTTGAGTCCCACTGAGTCCCACAGCTTTCTGGCTTCTCCATTAGCTTTCGAGTCCTGCTCCAACTTCGCAGGCTCATAAACGGAGACTCGGCAAAATGCAGTCAGTACAATCCAAGCTGCGTTAGGTCAGCACCCCGCGTGTTCCCTCGGACTTGTGTCGTGGTGCTGTATGTTACCGCGGACCAGCCCGGCCAGCCTGCGACTTGGGGACCTTGGAGTGTCCTACAGAGAAGTTTGGTTCTAACGCAACAGTGGCAGGCGTAGCTGCGAGCATTGATGGAGAGAGGGTGGCCTGGTGGCTACGAACTGCATAGACACGATCTGGCTTAATCCTCCCTGTAGACCCACGAGGCAGCCGCTCTCCCATCTCTCGGATGAGAAAACCGAGCCTCGGAGGGGTGACCATGGGGGCAGTAACTGGTACATCATAAAGTTAAAAAATGCAGCGTGAAATCGCAGATAAAGAAAAAAAGTTCTAGGGGTGCCTGGGTGGCTCAGTCGTTAAGCGTCTGCCTTCGGCTCAAGTCATGATCTCAGGGTCCTGGGATCGAGCCCCGCATCGGGCTCCCTGCTCCGCGGGAGGCCTGCTTCTCCCTCTCCCACTCCCCCTGCTTGTGTTCCCTCTCTCGCTGTGTCTCTCTCTGTCAAATAAATAAGTAAAATCTTTAAAAAAAAAAGAAAAAATTTCTAGTGAAATAAAAGACGCATAGTGACAAAACCCAAAGAGCCGTTCTAAGTCAGTAAGAAAAGAAACTCATTAGGAAAATGGGCAAAGGATATGAATGGGCAGAGCATAGAAGGAGAAATAAAGTTGCCGTGATGAAAAATACAAATGAAGACAAGGAGATTTTGCTCTTCGGTCAGGTTAGGAAAGGTCGGAAATGCAGATTAGATACTCAAGGGCGGAGGCGTGGAGAAGCATGACCCAGCACCCTGTGTTGGGGGTACCCCAGGGTCCCTTGGACAATGCCCACTGGAGTGAAACTGTCACCCTCGCCGTCACCCCTGGCCTGGGGAGGAGGGACACATGGGATGTGAGCTGGGGAGCAGGATGCGGGGGAGGGTTAGAATGGGGTCATGGAGGCTTATTCGCGGCTCTGCTGGGTTTCCCCAAGTCGTCCCGCTCACCCCACTCCCTACAGAGCCAGAGTGCGTCACCTGCTTGGTTGGTGACCACCTTCTTTCTCTCAACCAGATAGTGCTGCTGCAAGAGCAGTCCTCAGCTTGGAGGTTCGCTTCCTTTGACCCCCCCTCCCAGGGCGGCAGAGGGCAGCACTGGGGGCAAGTCCAGACTGCAGGCCCCCAGCTGTCCACGGAGGGGCCCTGAGTGGCCCCCGCCTCAGAGAGCCATTCTCGGGCCTGCAGCTGGCCACACCATGCCCTGCATGGGTCTAGTGGCTGGCAGAAGGGGGCAGGGCCCCCAGACACGCGTGAGGGCCTGGCTCCCCAGCCCACGCACTACCCCCTTGCATGGGGGAGTGCCTCCTTGGGGACCCTGGGGCACCTCTCTTCTTTCTAATGCTTAGTAGTTTGATTTGTGCTTGTTTCTTCTGGCCTGTGAGTCACAAAATACAAATTGTGTAATTTCAGTGATTCTGCATGTGAGTTAAATGCTCTGATATTTACATTTAAAACTGGCGTTGCGTGACGTAAAGGTGAATGGTAAGATTCATGCTAAAGAAGAAAAAAGGGAGAACCTCTGTATCTACTGTTAATGGCACTTGCCCCTGCCTTTTGAGTGAGGGGCCCCATAGTTCCATTTTATGTCAAAGAATGGTGGAGTTGGCCATGCAGGCCACGGTTGATTGGCCCAAGGGTGAGCCTCTGACCCAAGGGCACCAGTCTGGAAATTTGGATCTAGTGCAGAGAAAAAGGAGTTTTTGGTCCAGCGGGTGGAAACTGAACATTGGTGAGTCATGATCTGTTGGTGACCATGTTCTGCCTTGTGGATGAATGAGCAAAAAATTCCAGTTGGCTGTGAGAAAGAAGAAATGAATTAAATGTGCAGAGAGAGGCAGAGGCAAACGACAGAGAGAGACACCATATCCTGGTGTCCCTTAGAGCGCCAGTTTCTGTTTGCAAGTAGCCCCGTGGGTGGTGGATCAGAACTCTTAAAGCACTTTCTCGTTTATGGCCCCAGTTAGCAACAGCTGAATTCTGTTACCTGCCACCAAAGGACACTTAACAAATGCAGAACATGTAAAATAAATAAATAAGAAATGGTGGTATTGTGTACCAAAATATAGAACTAAATCTCAAAAAGAAAAAAAAAAAAAAAACCAAAAAAACAGATCTGCAAGCAGCGTCCCTAGCAGTAAATGGTATTGGTTCCCCAGACAAAATTTGTGATTTAGAAGCTATCAGCATTTGTCAGAGAAAGAAAGCCTTTAAAAGCAGGCTAAGGGAATTTGATATTATAAAGTCAAAGTCTTCATTTATTCTTTCTCTGGATGAGCTTTCTACTGTACTTCTAAGCTTTTGGCTCAAGATACACATGTAAATATCAGCTTAGTCCAGTGGTTCCCAGTGTGGGTGAACATTAGAAGCAGTGGGACGGCTTTTAATATATAAGGATTCATCTGTTGGTTTGAAGTGGGGCCTGGGCACCAGTTCTCCCTTTGAAGCCCTCCCCCCAACACCCCCCTGCCCCAGCAGTTGTAATGTGAGCCCTGGGGAGAGACCACTCGCTGCCTTAGTCCTTCTGTGATCTACCCCAGGGATCCTTCCCGCGGGAGAAGTGGGCAGATGGGGTGGAGGGAGGCTCACGCCTGCACATTTTAATCAAACCCAGGTGAAGCAATGAAATTCAAGTCCCTATCCCACTGACAGACCATCCACCCATCTGGACCTTGGCTCCCTGAGTCCTTTTCAGGAAAATAGGGGATAAAGGGGTCCTGCACCAGTCCCGCCAGCAGAGGGCAGCAAGTGTACGGCAAATGGGGACTCCCCAGCAATGCTGGGCCCCTACTCAGAATCACAAATTATACCTCCAAAAGACTTAGGAATCGTGAATCCAAATTCTTCATTATGGAGATGAGAAAAATGAGACCCAGAGAGGAAAGCTTTCGAAGCCAAAAGCACACAGATAGAACCTGAAGTAGAAAACCCATGTCCTTATTCATTTAGCAGTCCCTCCATAAGCCCCTACTTAGCCTGTCAGGTGCAGGGCAAGGTGCTGAGGATCCAAAAATGATCAAGTCTCTGCTCTTTGGTGAAGCTGCCTTCTATGCAAATCATTATACTGAATGTGGAACATGTTCTAGAACAGACTTAGGAGGAATGGGAAACAGAGTTCTGTTTGAGAACTCATTCACTCATGTATTTGTTGGACATGTGCCGAGTTGGTGCAGACTGTTGGCCAGGCACTGTGCTAGGCACAGGGCACATGACTTTGACACATGGGGACCCTCTCCACCCTCCTGGACCTCACCGTCCATCTCAGGACGCAAAGCAATGGGGAGGGTTAGAGAGTGGTGAGCACAAGGCTCTGTGAGAGAACAGAGGACAGACATCCCAGGCATTTGGGATCAGGGAAGCTGACAAAAGGAAGTGATGCCTAAACTGAGATCTTTAGGATGAATAGAAGAAGCCAGTGAAAAGTGGGTGGGTTTGTTTGGATGCTGGTTCAAACAAACCAATATAAAAAAAAAAAAAATCCATGGGTCCATCACAGGACCCTGACCCCTGACTGGGTATTCAGTTCGATACACTTAGGAAATTATGGTTCATTTGTATTTAGTGTGATGATGGTGTGGTGGTCCTGTTTTAGAAAAGAGCCTTTGTATTTTAGAAATACAGAATGAAATAGTTACCGATGACATGATAGGACATCTGGGATTTAAAAAAAAACAAAACCTGGAAGTGAGGGAAGGTGGAGAAATGGATGAAAGCAGAGGGGTCACAGTGGACTCTCGTGGACGCTGGGTGAGGGGGACAGAGTTCTCCCAAGTGGTCTTCTAATTTGTCTAGGTTAAAGTTTTCCTTCAAAAAGAAAAAAAGCTGAAACACTGAATAGCAATGTAAATAACAGTAGTGTGTGGAGTCGCTCCATGCAAAGACTTGGAGCTGCGCTAAAGAATTAAACATGTTTAAAATAGCAGCGCCATCCCCGCAGGCAGGAGGCTGGGAGCCGGGAGCTGCGCTTTCTGGCCCAGCCCCTCCCTTGCTGTCACCCTTGGTGCTCAGACCCTCTGTGCTGGTAAGGGCTGAGGAGGGCCCACTTGGCCTGGAATGTCAGGAGAAACCAGGGGGGTTTCTGAGCAGAGTATCCTCTCATTTCAAGCCAGGAAGCACTTTAAGCATCTGTGTTTCCCGAAGATAACATTAAAAAAAGGGATCCCTGAGGGTTCCCCCCGACTCCTGTTGCATGGGCCATACTACTTAGAATTAGAATCAACCTATCCTGCCTCCCACCCAACGGGGATGGTTGCTGCTGCAGCCTCTCTCCCTGACCTTGGCCATGCCTCGGGGTGGTCACTGGGTCCGGCCAGAGTCTCCATCCTGGATCCATCGCCCAGCAGCTGTGGCCTGGGGCCGGTTGCCAAGGCAACATCAACAGGTCCCGGGGCCTGTAAGCTGGGGTCATGCCCAGCTCGCAGGGCAGGGCGAAGGAGACGGTAAGGTGACGGGTCTCCAGAAACCGTAATGCACCAAATGAGCAGATAATCCTTCTGTTTGAAAGTATTCGGTGGCAGGGAGCTCATTTCACCACCAGGCCTTCTGTGGCATGTATTAAAATGACTCTGTAAGGACGTGTTAAGGAAGAAAGTGATTTTAAAATCCTATAGAACTTACTTCAGCTGGGACTTATTTCATAAAATAAGTAACTGCACTCTTAGAAGGTTGAAAATAGATATTAAATATTTATTATTATCCGATAGTGGGAAATACTGATTAAATAGGAAATATTTGATTGCTAAATATTGGGGAAAATAGAGATTAAAACATAAACTGAATCTTTGCCACATGGTTTACATTCTCAATCCAAAGTTCCTTAATTTTCCAGAAGATTTTTTCCATCTATATTTGATTTTCAGTGGGC